AACAAGGACGACAAAAAAAATCAATTTCTCCTATATTACAGACACTTCTTTTTGGATGAAATTGAAACTAATACAAAAACAAATATTTTTGTATTTAAAATAATTTTTTTTGTAGAAGAAAAAACCATGTTTGTACAAAACATGTTTTTTAAAGACAAAACCATGTTTGTCTATACAAAACATCTTTTGTAATAGACAAAACATGTTTTGTAAAGAAAACCATATTTGTCTGTACAAAACATGTTTTGTAAAACACAAAACCATGTTTGTCAGTACAAAACATGTCTTGTTAAAGTCCCCAACCTGTAATCCCCATTGGATAATAAATAACTCCTTAATAAGTGTATAATAGAAATGCTATATATTAACAAGTTAATCAAAGTAAGTAAAGTAAACATCTACCGATTGAGCCTGCGCGTAACTGGAACCCGAGCCCCCACGATAAGTTAAGTGACTATTCGCTTACTTATAGTAGTGGTCACCCGCTATACACACACGCACGCACGCACGCTCGCACACACACACACACACACACATACATACATATCAGGGGCGTAGCAGAGAAGAAATTAGAAGGTATTAGTTACCAGGGCCGGAGGAGGGGAGATGTGTATAAGAGACAGATTTTGAATCTTACACTGTTTTCAGCTTCTGTATGACTTAAGCTCTAAATTGTAAGACGAACAATATTTCTAGAATCGCACTATCCGTAATGTATATTGCTGGGTTGAGAGAAGAAATGGAAAATAAAAATATTCAATGCCATAATAAGAACTGATGTAAAGAAAAATCGTAAAAAAAAAATAAGTATACTAATTCTCTCCTTTATAAAACTCCCACGCCCATCCATCTGTTCTCCTTGAAAACAAATCTTTTTGAATTATTTAAGTCTGGACCTTCCCAATCTGGAATGTTACAAAAATGTATTGCTTCCCTTGAACCCTTCCGGAAAGGTTAATTCAGATCCATTGATCATTTTTGTGCTACCTAGGTCTTGGACGTTCACTTTTATTCGAGTACCCCTAAATCTGTAGCCCGGAGGCTACTAAAGAACATCCCTTCCCTCACACACACAAACACACAAAAAATAAAATCGAATAAAAATATAACCTCCTAGGCGGAGGTAATTATAAAGTAAAACATACATAAAAAAAACAAAAGTACATACAAAAAAAACAAGAATAAATCCATAATAATAATAAAAAAAAACAATGAAGTAAAAAGAAAACGTAGAAACTAATTTGACGTCAGTAAGACTCGAACTATAGCTGCAATGGTAATAGCCCCGAGGAAAATTTGCCAATCGTAAAACAAATTTTTTGTAAAATATTAATAGGCAATAATATATAATCCACATGCGACTCCTCTTTCTACTCTTTGCCAAATGTGGGCCTCTTTACTATCTAATAGTAGCAAAGTTGTTGTAGATTTGTAAGGGTACAATGTGTTAATGACTTCATAAACTTGAGTATTTGTAAAAACACGGAGGATTGAAAGTTGGCAAGTTTTTGCTGGCCTATTTTTATCCTCATTTTGGGCCTTGCGGGGACTTAGCAGGGGATGTAATTTCCAAAATGGTTACATGCATGTGAGAGTCCCGGCCACCTCCTAGCAATGCGGAGCATCGTTTTAATGTACATCCCCGGCTAAGTCCCCGCCACACCGCCGTAGTCCTGGGAAAATGCCTCGCTAATAAATGATTGGAGGATAAAACCTACTTGAAGGTTTAGCCTACAGTAGGTCTGAATCGGAGAAGCAACGTGAGAGCTAGGCCAAGGAGATGAGGTTCCTTGATGGAAGCACTACGCGTGCGTATCACTTAGCAGTTTCCATGGAAGTTTGGACTACAATTGACAAGTGCATAATCTGTCTCTTATACACATCTAGATGTGTATAAGAGATAGATTTTTCAGTGGGATTGAGCACTGTTTCACAAAAAATTGAGATATTTTTTTTTTATATATATATATATATATATATATTATATCAGATTAGATAATTATCCTGTAGTGACTGAAATGCCAAAACCGACCTTTGACCCACCCTCAATACGAGGTATTTTTCTTGCATATAAAAAATCATTTCTTATTATTAAAAGAAATTGTACTATCCAGGCCAGGCGATATTTCTTCTAAGTAAACACATTAGAGTACCACTCCACCTTTATATCTACTTCCACCCGATACTTAAAACAATGAAGTGTTGTAATATTAATAACTACCTGTAATTCTAAATCCGGGTGAATAAATTCCTTGAAAAACCAATCCTCCAAAACTAACGGATAGATTAGTATAATATGCAAAAAAAGGAAACGACTTTTGATAGATAAGGCCTATCACAACATGCCGAATCATCGTCCTAAACTACATGACAAAATTCTCCTTTCCGTCTACTTATCCTTTCCCCAATGAGTTCAACAACATTTTCTAAAACATTCCATGTTAGTATAAAGGCATATCGTCTCCTTAAAAAAGTTATATGCTTAATTTAAGTCAAGTAATATGTAGTCTGATTTTTAATGAGCAATTAAATCTGTTCCGTGAAAAAAAAACAAGAGCGACTGCTCACTAGGTCCGCGCGTCCCCCCATGTTTAAATACGGTATAGGCGCAGCTTATTATATTGGGCTTTTTGGAAGAGCTAATATGATAGAAATTTTTAAATAATTAGAGTATTTATTTGTGCAAAAAAAAAAAAAAAAAAAAAACATTTAGAATGATCATTTGTACAAAATTAAAATTGAATACCAAGACGCATTTCGAACTCACGACCTAAAATTCTTTAGTATATTTTCTTTTTTAATGAACATGGATGAGAACTGTCTGATAAAATGAAAAAAAAATTATGCGATTCGAACTCACGACCTTTAGAACACATCCGTAACCGACCGCGCCATTCATGCGAAGTGCACTATTACGGTAGTGGTAAATGGCAGTAATGTACAGTCCTTGCTAAAACCCCTGATTTGTTTTGTAGGTGAGGGGAACCCTGGGTCCAACTTTGAAATGGGAGATGAACGTTTGTGGGAAATCCCCTCTAGTTTATGTGTACAAAATTTGTTGCACGTCCGTTCGAAGCGGGCGACGCTGGACGCTTTTAAAGTTTGAAAGCCCTGTTTTGTTTTGTAGGTTTAGGGGAACCACTTTCCGCCATGCAGTTTTCCCCAGATCTTCCCACGGTTTATCATAATGTATTTTCCCTCACGATTTTACCCTTTATTGTTTTATTATTCAATATTACTTGTAGTTTTAAAGTAGAACCTACCAGTAGTTGCTTTTATGTTTGCTTTTTTTTTTTTAGTTTGCATCCGGGTACACATAATGTTAAGGAAAAAAACAGGAAATCTCTGTTTAACACGCTTGTTCTTTTGGCCTTCATATCACACCTATTACTGAGTGCTTCTATATCTTTTAATGCTGACGATCAGACGAAAGGCTTTTGTTGAAACTACAAAGCGATCATTGTCAACAATGAATTGGATATCTTCCAAAGAATAGGCGAAGAGAACACAATCATAAGCAAATACTAAATCAAGCAGTAATTTATCTTTGGAGATTAAAGATAACAAATATATTGGTGAAAGTGATGACAATGAAAACAAAAGTCAAGTTGACGTATTTTTGGAACATAATTTATTAAACACGAATATTTCGTCCACTCCTCTGGACTTCATCAGCGTGAGTGATATACATTAAAGATACTTAGCTACAAGTTGCCTGAAATTTAATTGGCCTATCAACAAAGCATGGGCGGTACTAAAACTTAATGCGAAATAAACAAAATTAGTAAATAAGAATTAACTAGAGAGCTGAGTTGTTATCTAAAGTAAGAAAGCTTACTAGCAAAGACAATGTCTTAATGCTGAGTATAGATAAACAAAAAGGAATGAGAAAGCAGATAATGGCTGTTCCCACGATATGCTGAATGTGAGGGGATGGCTTCTAAACAAATAGAGAAATAAGATATAAGCAGGAAATGGAAAATTATAAATAGGTAAAATAAAGCATTATATGGATAAAAATATGGAACAGGAATATAAAATATGATATAAAATAAATATATAGTGAAGTCTGTAGCATACTCAAAATAAATATACAGGAAATGAAATAGGGCTGGAGTAAACAAAGTATAGGCTTGTTTAATTAATATCTTTGATGAATGTATATTCACTGGCAAAGCCCATGTCCTTATTAAGACCTTTTTTGTGGGTTTTTAGGCGGAGAATCCAACGGATTTCCGCACTACGTCTTTCTTTGGTAGATATGAAATTACTTTGTAGAATAATAAATCGCATGTCACTGGCATTATGATTAGGTAGACTGAAATGAGCTGCAACAGATTTGCTCATGTCTTTGCGTCTAATAG